TTGGTGAAAAAACAGTTTGAAAAAACGACCAAAGTCATGAGGTTTATTTTCATACATAGGTACGCTCTATCTAGGTTGATATACTTCTGTGAACGTTGAAACCAGCCATCAATTTCATCTGTGTAAAATTGTGAGGCATGCAATTTGAACCATTTTTCGGCGGTTCTTTTTGCTGCTTCAAATAATAGAAAGTGGGTAGCTTTCAATAATTTTTTCAAGTTTGGAAATAAAGAAAAGGGGGGTTAAATTAGTCATATTAGGTGGATGCCGAATTATTTCCCATAGAAATTCACGTAGCAAGCTCTTGTCTGCCGAGCGCTATGTGCAAGTGCATTGTTGTTGTGGAAGATTGCGCGCCCATGTTGCTGAGGCGTTTTTCATCGATTTTCCTGGAAAATTTTATCAAAATATCTTCATTATAAACAGCAGTAATATTTTTGTTGTTCTCGTGGAAATCAATTAACAAGATTCCCTCTGCATCCCTGCATCCCAGAAAACTTTCCCTCATGAATGCTCAGATTTTTCTTTGAGGGGCCCATTTTCTCCCCTGAACAGCCCCGGCTTCGATTGAGTCTTTGTCCGCGGAATTGTACTGGTGGAATTATGTTTCATGCCCAGTCACAATCTGCGAATGAAAAAGTTCTGGGTCCTCAACCAACTTGTTCAAAATTTCAATAGAAAGTTTTGTTATTGATTCTCTCTGATCTGGGAGCAACGCCTTGTAACCCACCGGACGGAGAGCCTGCTAAATATCAGACTGCCACTAAAATTGTGTGTGCGGAACCCACGGAGATGTTGACGGTGTCTGCTACTGATTTGGCGGTTATTCGCCTAAATTTTTCAGTGAAATCAACGCCAGCATCAATGTTTCTCTCACAAACTGACGTGCATGGCCTGCCTCTGCGGGGGTAATCTTCAGTCGCGTTTATCTCGCAGGTGGGACAACTAATCCATTTGCAAGTTGCTTATTTATTTGATGCATTGTCACCATAAATTTGTTCCAGAGAGTCAATAATTTGGTTGTTATTCCACCCAAGCCACATCATAAATTTTTTTCCTGACCTCGATTTCGGCAGATGACATGTTGCATCAACATTTGTTGCTTTTAAAACTGCGTCCTGCGGTTGTACCGCTAATTTAAGGGTTCATGTTAGAACACATTTTAAACATTGATACAGGATCGTTCTGGTCCATGGGCATAATATTATTTTCTTAGAATTTTCAGTCATATCCATATTCCACGAAGATTTTGAGGAACCTCCGTCGTAGTGCGGTGTGGTGAGCCTCTGACTACAGATCTCCTAAACCAGGGTTCGAGTCTTGGGAGTGGCGCGTCGTTCTTCAACCGGAGTACCGGACTGCGGATAAGGCGAGTGTAGAATAATCTCTGGAGAGCTTCCCGATGTTTACAAATATCGATTGCATTGCTGTACTGGGCATTACATATCTGTATGTTAATGTGTCCTCTATGACTTTATATGCTTGAGGTTTCGGTGTAGCCAGACTATAGATCTAGGCTAGTACATTAAGCTTGTCATTTTTGGGCGGATGCATGCCCTACTCCAGACTGTGATTGGCTGTGATGTCATCCACTCCAGACTGTGATTGGTTGGTGGGATTGTGATGTCATCCACTTCAGACTGTGATTGGTTGGTGGGATTGTGATGTCATCCACTTCAGACTGTGATTGGTTGGTGTGATTGTGATGTCATCCACTTCAGACTGTGATTGGTTGGGGATTGTGATGTCATCCTATCCAGACTGTGATTGGTTGTGATGTCCAAATATGCCATGTGTACTGGTTAATTTAATACCTCTCTAGAATGCCAGTCTGATTTGTAGCTGCGCTATACTTTCTTCTTTTGTTGTCTAGATTCACGCTGGTGACTAGTAGAATGCGCTGCATTCGCTCTCGTTCATTTAATTGGTGCTCAGCGTATAGAGTGGTCGCTGAAGCGCGTACCGTGATCTTGCTTGGTTTTGCTAATGCTTATCTGAGAACAAGTATTCCACTATATTCATTGTACGTCATGGTCAACTCATTGTGCTTGTTCACAAATTACCGCATTATTCCTTTTCGTTGATCTCGTTCTGAGTGGCAGGTGAGTTTCTTGATTAAATCAGTTGTTCACCTGGTTGTGAAAAAATACAAAACCATTGGACGGCAGTAACTTTTGGCTCGAAGTGGCTTGTGATTTAGAGAGGATTGCAACATCGACTTGTAATTGATTCCTCGTTAAAGTGTCTTAGATAAATCCTAACATGTTCCTCGATTTACCTTAGCTCTGTAGTTGCGGTAATAATGGTTTGGAATTTGAATTCATGTATATGTGTATAGTAATTCTAGCTGGATGTGGGCTTCATGTTCATTTCTGTCCTGGCGTTTTCCCCGTGGAACCAATTTGGGGATGCTGCTGGAGTAGAGACTTGCTGGAAAGACTGTCGTCAATAACCAGTGACACCTACATATATTTTGAAGATAACCGGCTAAAGACACTTGAAGATCGACGCTAATGAACTGATGCAGATTAAGCATGCAGTGCGGATTAATTAGACGACAATCGTTCTGGTTTTGTGACAAAGGCCTGATTTCATCTACCAGAATACCAGAATTTTTGGAAGGAAACGGAAACGCAAATGTTCAAACGACCTCTACAGTACCTTGGATTCTGTTTTGTTATAGTTTTTTTTAGTTTGCGTGGTACATTCACTTGCTAAGTATTTTTTTTTATATGTAGGGCTGTAATCATCTTGTTTTCTAGAGGTGGGTTGTCATCTTCTCCAATATAATCTGTAGTCTGGATTTATCAACTTTCGTTGAGTTTGATCAATTTTTAATTTCTCACTTTCCCGTTGGGGTAGCATATACATGTTGGAAGCTCTTCCACAGCAGCATAGAGTAGAAACCCGTTATCAATTCGTACAACCGAAAGCTAATAGCATCGTCGTTTGATTCTTCGTAAATTTTCCAATGATTTTTGTATATATCAATGTGGTAACGTTCATCATTGCAGTGATTACGCAACATTGTTAATGTTCGGTTTACAATTAGTTGATTGTCGATCACTTCTTACACTATTTTTACGGTTGTTAGGGAAAACGATTTTTCCACGAGTATTATTACTCACGAATCCGAATTTTCCATGCATTTAGCGAGTTACAGAAACAGGCATTGAAAATTAATAAATCAATCGATTGCATTGAAAAAAATTCGATTGCCCCTCCCTTCTTCTGACTGCGGAGAAAGGGGGGGGATTTTTTCACATTGGCAGGTTCGGCCAGAGCTGCCCTGGATACTGGGACGTACTCCATTCGAACCGCTCAGTGGTCGCCATAGTCGGGACCAGACTCTCGTAGCTGTCTGATTTGGGATCGGAAAGTTGACCAAAAAGCCGACATAGAGAAGCTGACTTACGTGCTTCATGAGACATACACTGTTTGAAAAAACACCGTGAATAAACGTTCCCACGTTCCCAGTCCATGGCTCTATAGTAACCAGTTACTTACCGTTAAAATAAACGCAGGAACGTTCTTCGCGAGAAAATGGTGCGACTGTTCTTGTGTTTATATAGCCTTAGCAGGTTCGTACATTATAATCAGGTGTAAGCAAAAGGCATATTAAACAACTTGAGGAACTGGGTCATGTATGTATTCATGGTATTCAACGTTGAAATTTATACTTGTATAATAACGAACTTCCCGGATAACTTGCCGGATAAACATAATTTAAATTGATGGATATCGCATGATTAACGGTAGAAAAAAACTTCGGAGTTAGGGCGTATTGTACCTAAATAAGAGGTAGAACATTATTATTCCTAATATTACTATTAATATTTAAAATTATGCTTTAGGTCCGCAATGAAAATTCTGAACTATGAATTATAAGCAAAATCAATTCTGTATAACTCTGATGACAGTATCAGAAACAAATGATCTACTACACTGTTAGAAAAAACGGTGAAAAAACGGTCCCACTGGCGTTCTAGTGGCCGGTTGCCCCGTGAAAATAAACTGTTTTACCGTTTTTATCAGATGTTTTACGGATTTCTAGTGTTAAATTAGAATAAAAACGGCGACACGGTGTTTTTTTTCACGTGCCGACCGGCCACTGAAACGCCGGTAATACCGTTAACGGTATTTTTTCTAACAGTGTAGTATCGCCACGAGTTAACCTTCTCCGGGTCACTGGATAGAATCAGGGTCCCGAATCAGCTGAAGTGCGACGCACTTTAATTGCGAAGTCCTTGTTAAAGGAAAAAAAATGCACTTTAAAAGAACAACAAAACAAACTGATGAACTGCAACTGGGAAGCACAATAAAACAGGTAGAAGACCAAGTTATAAACAGCCATGCAATGTCATAGGTGAAGCTTAAATGTTATGCAATTAGTGATGAACAAAAAATACTTAGTTTACAAAATTAGATGTCGCACACAAAGCTTCGACCTCCAGTTTCAGCTTTTTCCTTATGATGGGAGAGGTCAGGAAGACTGCAGCCTGGAAATGACTCCCACGGGAAGGAGACGGGAACGACCGTTGTAAGGACAGGCAGTGGAGTGGATTAGATCCCCACACTCGAAACAAACCTCGCTTGAGAAGCATCCCATCCTGAATGTGTAGGACCCAAAGTGCCTGCAAAAGCGCGAATGTTCCTGATCCAGCCCTGGGGCCATACTTTCAAAACTGGCTAAGTGAACGTAAGTACTTGCGCTCTATTTTCTAACACTATGATTGGTGGACTTTGCTTGAAAGGCCGTCAATGACTGGCTTACGATCACTTAACTTTTTTGAAAGTATAGGCCCAGAGCGCTAGAGGCGAGGGAGCATTGCTTCCTCGGGGGTGCCCAAGGGAGGTGGGGCGGGCAAGACCCGGGGGAGGTGAGGCGGTCAGGACCNAAAAAACAGTTTTCCAGTATTTCACTGCTAAACGTGTGAATGTTCCAGTACTGAGATATAATCATCAGCCTATCACATACCTGTCTCTTATACACATCTGACCCGGGGAGGTGAGGCGGTCCAGGACCCGGGAGGTGAGGCGGTCAGGCCCCGGTGAGGTGAGGCGGTCAGGACCCACGAAGGTGAGGCGGTCAGGACCCGGTGAGGTGAGGCGGTCAGGACCCACGAAGGTGAGGCGGTCAGGACCCACGAAGGTGAGGCGGTCAGGACCCGGTGAGGTGAGGCGGTCAGGACCCACGAAGGTGAGGCGGTCAAGGCCCACGAAGGTGAGGCGGTCAGGACCCGCGGAGGTGAGGCGGTCAGGAACCGGGAGGTGAGGCGGTCAGGCCCCGGTGAGGTGAGGCTGTCAGGACCCACGAAGGTGAGGCGGTCAGGACCCGGTGAGGTGAGGCGGTCAGGACCCACGAAGGTGAGGCGGTCAGGACCCGGGGAGGCGAGGCGGTCAGGACCCGGAGGAGGTGAGGCGGTCAGGACCCAGGAAGGTGAAGCGGCCAGGACCCTGGGAGGTGAGGCGGCCAGGACCCAGGAAGGTTAGGCTGTCAGGACCCTGGGAGGTGAGGCGGCCAGGACCCACGAAGGTGAGGCGGCCAGGACCAGGGGAGGTGAGGCGGTCCAGGACCCTGGGAGGCTAGGCGGTCAGGACCCGGGGGAGGCGAGGCGGCCAGGACCCGGGAGGTGAGGCGGTCAGCAACCGGGAGGTGAGGCGGTCAGGCCCCGGTGAGGTGAGGCGGCCAGGACCCAGTAAGGTTAGGCGGTCAGGACCTTGGGAGGTGAGGCGGCCAGGACCCACGAAGGTGAGGCGGCCAGGACCCGGGGAGGTGAGGCGGTCAGGACCCGGGGAGGTGAGGCGGTCCAGGACCCTGGGAGGTTAGGCGGTCAGGACCCTGGAAGGTGAGGCGGCCAGGACCCAGTAAGGTGAGGCGCTCAGGACCCGGGGAGGTGAGGCGGACAGGACCTGGGGAGGTGAGGCGGTCAGGACCCAGGGAGATGAGGCAGCCAGGACCCAGGAAGGTGAAGCGGTCAGGACCCGGGGAGGTGAGGCGGTCAGGACCCGGGGAGGTGAGGCGGTCCAGGACCCGGGGAGGTGAAGCGGCCAGGACCCAGGAAGGTGAGGCGGCCAGGACCAGGGGAGGTGAGGCGGTCCAGAACCCGGGGAGGTGAGGCGGCCAGGACCCAGGAAGGTGAGGCGGTCAGGACTCGGGGAGGTGAGGCGGTCAGGACCCGGGGAGGTGAGGCGGTCAGGACCCTGGAAGGTTAGGCGGCCAGGACCCGGAGGAGGTGAGGCGGTCAGGACCCGGGGAGGTGAGGCGGTCCAGGACCCGGGGAGGTTAGGCGGTCAGGACCCTGGAAGGTGAGGCGGCCAGGACCCAGGAAGGTTAGGCGGTCAGGACCCGGGGAGGTGAGGCAGTCCAGGACCCGAGTAGGTGAGGCGGTCATGACCCGGGGAGGTGAGGCGGTCAGGACCCGGGGAGGTGAGGCGGTCAGGACCCTGCCAGTACCCGGGGGAGGTGAGGCGGCCAGTACCCGGGGGAGGTGAGGCGGCCAGTACCCGGGGGAGGTGAAGCGGCCAGTACCCGGGGGAGGTGAGGCGGCCAGTACCCGGAGGAGGTGAGGCGGCCAGGACCCGGGGAGGTGAGGCAGCCAGGACCCGAGGGAGGTGAGGTGGTCAGGACCCGGAGGAAGTGAGGCAGCCAGGACCCGGGGGAGGTGAGGCGGCCAGGACCCGGGGAGGTGAGGCAGCCAGGACCCGGGGGAGGTGAGGTGGTCAGGACCCGGAGGAGGTGAGGCAGCCAGGACCCTGTTCTTCTTGGTTGTCCACGCGGTGTTGGAGCGATAGCCCGGGGACGGCCTCCACATAAGAGCTCGCTAGCAGGCAGCCGCCTACCAATAATTATTTGGCCACGCAATGGCCGAAGCGGGACTGCAGGGCCACCTTCACGAGTCTTTCCACAGGAGGGGCAGACATTGCCCCACAGGAGACCAGAGACATTGAAGGAAAAAAGCTACTTCAGTCAAATATAGAAGTGTTGAGTGTATTGGTTTATTGGTAATAATATAATAATTATCTACTTTTCTACTAGTCTATCAATAAAGCAATACTTTTTCCGTCACAGAAAGTTCATTTCTGTCAGTGCTTTCGTTGTGACTGAATAAGGTATTTCTCTTTTTGAATAAGGTATTGCTCTACTTAGTGACCAAATAAAATATTGTTTTATTAAAAGACTAGCTGATTAATAATTATTTAATTTGTTAACGAGACCTGGCCTTATCTATCCTTGATGATATTTAATAATTATGTCTTAGAAGGATAATTTTAATGCTTAGGTACTCTGGGTGGCCTATTGTAATGACGCGTATCAATTACGAAATGTTTGTTCATATCTCGTGTTTGAAATGCAACTTTCATTTTTGATCACATGAAAAAGAAAATTTAGCGAAAAGGGTTTAAATATGAGCCGGTCCAGCGAATGTGGGCAAATTTTATTAAGTGTATGATCTAACCACTTTCTTCTGGAGAAATTCAAATTCTTCATAGAAAACTTGTGTAACATAAACTAAATAATTGTCGAAGTAGTCAGAATTCAACAAAAAGAATATATGAAATCGAACAAACTGCAGTGCATTCAAAGTATTGGGAAACTAGTCTTTTGGGAAAAAAGTGAGGATTTAGGGTAAATCCATGACCTTAAATAAATTTGCTGCGTACAAAGTTTTCACCGACATCTAAATATTTAACACCAGCGGGCGTTGCGTTAGACTGTTAGTGTCACGCACACGGATTCGATGTTCACATTAATGTAAGCAGAGAAATTTGTATAGTTGTATTCGCTATCAAACTTTAATGTTTCTTTGATATAAATGATTCCTTTATAAAATTACAAGAATGTAATTACGTGAATAATACTCGAGACTTCACTGTAGTTCTGCATTGATAATATTGCAAGTCCAATATGATCAGAATAGTTTAGTTACCAATCGACTTGTTAAATACTACAGAAGCGTGCCAAATAAGAAAGTCAATATTTATGCAATTTTATAGCCAATAATTCGGTTCACAATAAACTTAGAATTGAGTTTTGTCTAAATATTTATCATTTTGTCCGATGATGCAAGTTTTGAAGAATTTTTCAATAATATACAGCAAATTATGCGAAATACTAGAGCGGCCGCTGAACGATTTCTACTCCTTAGGAAGGACTTCCATATTCATTGAGAAAAAAATATTTGAAGCCTTAGAGGCTTACATACTTGATAGAAACGTTGATATTCGAGTGATACGGAAACGGTATTCGAGAGCGAGCCTATGTTCCGGCTAAATACGACGATTTGACAGTTTTCTACAATAGCATCGACCACCACAAAACTTTTAAATGGCCTAAACTTCATACGATGAAGATGATTAGAATATCCAATCCACATACAGAAGATGATCTAGTGTGGGTTGGATGAGACTGTGGTATGACTACTATGCGATGTCAAGTACGGAGAATGCCGTGTAGCTGCTACTTATAGGTTCTTTCAACATGCTAGCAATAACGAAGCCAGACAGCAGGAAGTTTATTCAATCAGCCTCTCACACGAAGCGAGACGAAATGTTATTGCATGGTTGATATGCACTGTATTTGTTAACTATCGTCTCGGGTAAAACCACTATTGCGTCGCAGTTTTTTTTAACCATGGCCATAGATAGCACGACGGTTGCAATAAAGTTTCTCTTTGTTTAACCGTGGTCGCAGTTCAAAATATAATATACGATAAAAATTCCTGTTTAAAACAACACTTCTAAAGAATCCAGTGTCTCCAATGCCAAAGATGTAAAATGAATTTCTCATTTTATTTTCGAATATTAAAGAAAGTAATTTTTCAATTTTTTAAAATATACAATTATTTTTTATTATTTATTCTGTCAATTAATTCATGCATTGCCTCCGACTTCACACAAGTGTGTAGAATTTCAGATCAATTGGACAGGTAAAAGTGTGTCAAATATCAGTTATGAGATTTATAGCGACAAAATTATTTTTTCGATTTTTTTAATATTAAAAAAAATTAATTTTCAAAATCATTTATTTTTTCATTAGATTCTTGCATTGTCTCCAACTTTACGCAAGTATGCAAAATTTCAGATCGATAGGATAAGTAGAAGTGTGTTCAATTTTGATTATAAGATTTGTGGCAGACAGACAGACAAACAAGAAGTGAAGTTAAAGAGAAGTGTTGTAATTACGTTAAGCCTTTAATTCTTTAAGAGGTAATTATCACAGAGCCTGACGGGCCTGCCAAAGTGTTCAAAAGGAGGTGACAAAAGCAATAACCCAAAAATAAATCAGTAACTCGGCAAAGGTTGTGCACAACAAAATAAAACCATTAGTTATACACGAGAAAAATGTGGCGCAAAACCAAGAACAATGGGAACAGTTAGGACGGCGGAAAACTTTATGAGGTTCATAAACATTTAGAGTAGCTAATTTTGAGAGCTGCGCCTCTGTCTTATATAGGCAAAGTTAGCTCTGCTTCTACGCAGTTATTTCCAAGTAGCCCGGTTAGGAAATTTTCCCCACAGTTTCACAAATTTTAATTTCTGCGCATTTTCATGCTTGTCCGCATAACGGTTAATATTGGAACTAGCGGTTTGTCTGTCTGTGCATAGTTCCATGTTTTCTATTTTATTTTATAGCCGCCAAACAAAAACTCCCAGGTGTGCATTCAGCCGTTGACGAATTAAGACGTGCTCAAAATCTCTCTGTTTACTTTAACAAGTGTGTGTGTGTGTCATGGCTGCACCAGTTCAGTGTTCAGAATCGGCCGATCTCATCGATCCTGGCGCCATTTCTGAAAACACTACTCAAAGTCATACGCATGGGTTAACCAACACCCAACTTGATCCTGCAGTCAAAGTCTCGACCAAAATGTTTTATTCTAATTAGAATAGATAGCCTACAACAAGAGCTTCTAGTGGTGCATGAATCTTTGAAATTGGCTCAGAAGAAGCCTCTAAATGGTAGTTTTTCAAAAAAAAGTGACAGAAGTTGGTCCATTTTTGGGGTGAAATTGAAAAAAAGAAATAATTTCATAGCTTATTCACTTTTTGACCTACTATGCTCATTTTCTAAATTTTTTTCTCTTTTCAGTGGTGTAATTTTCATTACGATGAAAGGAAATTTTTTTTTTGTGCACATACCTACATGATTTGGAATAGCTGGCTTCACCAATACCATGAGTATACATATATGATAATGCGAAGGGTCCATTGGCGGGATAGTGACAAACTGGCAAAGCAGAGTGTTTTTAGACTCTCATTCAAGTTTAACTTCAATTCCTATAAGTAGACAAACAAAGTATCATGGATACCTGCATCAAATACATAAGACATTGGTTTCTGAGTAGGTAAGTGAGATAATTAAAAATGAAGTGATTCTAAAAAATCCACATATAGCAATATGCTACATTTAGCACTATCAGGCATGGAATATCTACCGGTACTTGTCAAGCCATGACTGTGTTTTTTGAGTCATGGTTCAATAGATTTGCCAGCCATGATTCCATTTTTTTACTGTGATTTCCATATCTTGGCCATAAAAAGCCATATATAAGGTGCAAATTTATTTACAAAATCCATGCACGTGATATCCCAAATCTCTAATTTTACCCTAAAACAATCAAACGGCAACAATAACATTTGTCTTTACTGTCAGCTGAACACGTGTTAATGCGGTCTGACTGCTTTGATGTGCTCACAACTATGCACAATCTTCAACAAAACATTTAGGTTGACTTGTTTACATTACAATGATTACATTCTGCAGGAATTTTTGGTGAGAACATAAAACAATGCGGATTGCAGAAGTTGAAAATTTTATAAAATTACACGTTTGCTAAGTGTGATCTGTGATTTTTTTCAACCAAACAAAATTTTATGACATTTGAGTCACAAGATTTCATCCCCACTGAAATTATATGATATTAGAGCCGCGATATCTCAGAAAAAAATATGACTTTTCCAGCCCCATTCTTGGCGCCTCCACTCCAATTGTAGTGTCCTAATGACAAAGCTGACAGCCCTGTATTGTTCACTTGTCAATTGTCATCACTCAGCAGTCTAACAACCCTAACTGAGCACATGTACTGACCCTCAATTGGCGCTGCTCCTTCTGCACAGGATTGGAATTTTCCTACTTGTTTCTGAAATCTGGCAGCTCCAATGTGACAAATTGTTAATACATTTGGAATCTTGCAGCATGATCGTGGAATATCGTTAACAATTGGATGGGAAGTAATTCATCTGGCGGAAATCTGAAAGATCTGGAAATGGCGGGAAAGCTTGAGTCATGGCCCTAAATATAGATGTTTTCCATGCTTGCTTCTGCACACACCATGCAGTGGTATTATGAAGTGCTTCTTACTGTTACTGGTCCTGCAAATCCATAGATTTATTTGGACCCTCAACCATGAAAGATACCGGTAAGTGGTATTACAATGGGTAAAAGGCTAAAAGCCCATGCTGGGATACATGGGAATGAGTTGGTGGATCAAGCAGCAAAGTTGGGACATAAACTAGATCATATAGCATATATCATGCTGCTGAGTATTCTGATGCTCTCCGCTGCCTCCGCCACCAGTCTTTGTCTCTCCGCTAACTCCGCGACCAGTCTGGGAAAGAGACTGGATACAAAATGTTAATGAGGTTGGAAAAGGAAGACACTCTTGCTGGTCCATGGAAGCCTGCAGCCGGTACCATGGCTGCATGCAAAATCTTGTAAACTTGTATAGCATCCAGTGTATTGGCCCGCCTTCATTTTGGACGTGCTGGAGTAAATGCCTACCTGCACTGATTTTCAATTATTGACTCTTGACTGTGACACACTTGCAATGTTGATGAAACCATTGACCACTTTCTACTTGAATGCACCCAATATAATAATGCTCACCTACTTATGAGAAGGACTTTGTGGAATATTGGCATGCAGACTCTGACGGTGCAAACCTTGCTGGGAGGGAGCGACCTCACAAAACAGGAACAGCACCTCGTGATCAAGACCGTAATCACCTTATTCACAAATACTGGCCAAATAGGGACTTTGTGAAGCTAAAGCCCTGGTAAGTTGACTGCACTTGAAATGATAGAAATCAGCAATGACTGAGCAAACTTGAAAATAAGCTTAAAAATTGCCGTGTCCAGGTGTGACAATGCCTGAATACCCCTGATTGGGGTATTTTATGACACCTGAAAAGAGACATCATCATCATGACAATTTATCATTCATCTGCATGCCATCATACAAACATCAGCAAACATCATGACAAGTTATCATTCATCATGAGTCATGACACCAAATTTTTACTTGTGATTGTGGTGCTAACACAGTCTGTTCCCACAAAATATTTTCCATTAGGTACCAATTATTCATCTATTTGTTTAATCAATGAAATCAATGGCAAAAAATTTCACTACGCACCAAACTTTTTTATGGTATGTTCATCATAGCAGCCTTATAAAGAATTTTCTACTCAAGGCCCAGCTGATGAAGGTCAGAAGCTAGTATTTACATTTTAGAAAATTACTCTTCCAATCATAGTAATAGTTCTACATATAGGAATTCATTACATTAGCATAAGACAAATATGAAGGCAAATTTTCTAGGAATTTAAAAGTTTTTAGCAAATTGTACCTGTAGTTCTTCGGGGAAAAACATCATCATTATCTAGCTCATTTATTGGAATATTATAAAAACAAAGATGAATTGTTTACTGTTTAGAATCATTCCAGTGTATAGGCAGACACCAGATGGCAGGCATAAACTTATTCGTTTCAACTTCCAGCTCTGGCAATCTGGAAGAAAAGTCCATCAGTAGTCAACAGAAAGTAAATTATAGTTTGTAAACTTTATTGTTTTTTGATCTGAAAATTAATTTAAAACAATTGATTTCCCATTTGCATCCCATCAGGATTAAATTTCCAGACATGAATTGCTGGCTTACAAGGAATATCCATGTTTCTGTTGTTCAGGTTTGGCTGAGCATAGCTGAGAACTAAATCGTCCTACTTGTGGAACACTAATTTGTTTGGGAGTAAAATGACACCACTAGCAATTTAGTGAAAAACTCATTGTTTTGAGTTGTGCTTACCTCTGTGCAAGAATGAAAGTGCTGGTGTCATACTATATGTAACAAAATTGCAAATGCAATACTAGTGTGTAAAGCAGTGCTGGTTGTCATACACAATTATTGGTATGACCTATGACAGATCTAGTAAGACCTAAAGGTACCTCCAAACCTCAATTTCCACCATGTTACAGCATTAGCTTAATGGCAAGTTATATGTCATTGACAGTTGAATTTTAGGAAACAGTTTATTCATTGCAACTTATTTAACTTTGCATTGCTTACAGATACTCTTCCTACTTGGTTTAAGTTGGTTATTGCTGGATATCTTATTGCTTCTAGGGTGTCTCAGGAAACCTCAAACTTATATACCCCCACATTAATCTCATGGCGTACAATATAAAAGAGTGCAGAGTTGTTCTGCACCAGCTCTCAGATGCTGCAGTCAGGAGTGGCTGGTGCCCTGAGCAGAGCCTCATTCAAGCAGCAACTGACGTGTGCAAACTCAAGCCTGAAGGTATGTATGCTTCACAACTAGTGCTTGCAAGTCTATTTTATTTGTCAATTGGGAAGATGTTATACTTCATTGACATTCATGATTTATTGATCATATCATTGTTGAACCAAATCCCTTGGCAGTTTGGAAAGAAAGATGGTGATGACAACTTGCAACTGTCAAATGTTTTTCCTACACATTCTAAGGAAAATTACATTCTTATCATTAACTTTTTTGTGGGCAAGCATGCAAATATGAATACTATTTCCATCTTTTGAAAATGTTATAAAATCATCAATCTCATTGTCCAAGTCTAAATGCTAATTTAAATGCACATATTTTAAATCTTGGGCATGGTAGGGGTGATGCTATGAATGGAGTTGGGCAGATAATTGGTGATGTCCCATCAGGCAATGTAAGGTTGAATCAATGTTGAATCAGCATACTCTGAATGTTGAAATAATGTCAAATTTTAATCCAAAATAAAAAGTTAATCAACATTATTTTTTTCAATGTTGTACATTTTGATGTTGTTTCAATGTTGAAATCTAGGTGAATTCCGGCATTAAAAGCGCACTTATGAAAGTTATGTGTCAGGTTAACATGTTGCATCATGAATGTCACAGTATTCAGGCACCGTATTTATGCAACATTGAAAAAATGATGTTGATTCTCTTTTCATTCTGAACTAATGATCAATTGAATTTCAATGTCCCAAAGTGCATTGTTTCAACATTGATTCAGCCTGACATTGCCACAAACTGGAGGCTGTGGTGGGACCTTTTAGGAGGCAATTTCAAGTGAGCATAAATGAGTAACTTGCCTGCTAATGAGTTGAGGAGGCAGTAGAGATGGCTTGAGTCCATTATTATGTTGATATTCTTAGCTGCAAGTATCATCATGCTAATAATAATTGCTGTATATTACATACAGTAATGGAGGGCAGCAGCTCATCCCTACCCTCCATCATGACAGTTTACATCAAAGAGGAGCCTGAAGATGAGGGAGAGGACATAACTGTGAAGGATGAACCACTTTGCTGTGAAGAATATGAGGTGATATTTTTAACATGATTGAGTTTAAATAAATTGTTAAGAAATTAAAATGTTAATGCGAACTGATCATGTGGCTGCCGTGGCCTTGCTGTGAACAACTTGCACCTCAACTCTCATCAGCTCCAATGTTTATTACAATTGTAACATTTTCATCACTTATTATCCTCAATTTTTTTGTTTTTGTATGCAAGATTCTTTCCAACATAAAATATCTGCCATTTTAATCCAAGGTTGTCCCAAATATTCTATTGAAGGTTTTAAATTAACATAACTTCTGCAGCAATATGCCCCCATCAAGCAATGCAGGTAGCAATGTTGTTCATTTCTCGTGTCTTTTGTTCTTGCAGGGCATATGTTCTTGTGAGATGTGAAATTAGTGTCACATTCTGATCTTAAATGAACATGAATGAACACTAATATTGAAATGTTGTCTAATGCATGACTTGGGAATTTTTTTTTGTAGATTTACTTTGATACAAGTTTTATGTTGAGTTATGAGTATACTCATATCTTTCCCATTTTAATTGCCTAGATGATTTCCCTATCATTGAAATTATTCTAATACAATTGATAATAATTAAGGATTGTTTCCCAAGAAAAGTTTGTAGAAGACAATGAAGATTGTAGTAATCTAAATATATTTAAATGTTAAGTTAATTTTTGTTCATTGCATGATATGAAAGAATCACATGAATCTGCTTTCCATCTTCAGGGTGCCATGCCGTGCGGTGCCCCGGCCACCATTGGTCAGGAAAATATTTCTCCAGTACCCAATGGAGCAGCTTTAGTCCAGGAAGTTCTTTCTGGTCAGCCTGTGGCTGAGTTCAAGTCATCCAACTTGGCCAACAATGGCCATGCAAGATTAGCAAAGAAATTGCCCAAGGTTCCCCCATCCACTGATTCATTACATACAGATGTTCCTTTCAATGCCCAACAAATCTACAAACAAAGTTTTCGACCTGCATTAAACTGCAAGTTATGCGACTATGTTACTAATACAAAAGACAATCTCAATAGTCACCTGGTTTCTAAACATGGTTTGAGGAAAGACTTGAAATGCAAGTTGTGTGATTATGTTGCTGGCAAAAAATGCTATCTCAGAATGCATATGTTCTCTATACATTGCATAGGAGAAGGTGTGGAATGTGACCTATGCGACTATGTTGCGGCTAGAAAGGAAGCTCTCAAACATCACCTGTTTTCCAAACATGGTTTAGGGGAAGGATTAAAATGTGAATTATGTGACTATGCCACTCGTAGAAAATATCTTCTTAGTAAGCACCTTTTTTCTAAACATGGTTTGGGTATGGGAATCAATTGTAAGTTGTGTGATTATGTTACTATTAACAAATCTCATCTCAGTGTGCACAATTTTTCAAAGCATGGTTTGGGGGAGGGGTTAAAATGCAAGTTATGTGATTATTCTACTCTTGAAAAATATTCTTTGAATATTCACATGGTTTCTAAACATGGTTTAGGTAAAGGATTCAAATGCAAGTTGTGTGATTATAGCAACTGTAGAAAAAGTGTTCTTGATATGCACATGTTTTCTAAACACGGTTTAGGGAACGGCTTCAGATGTGAGTTATGTGATTATGTCGTTGGTGAGAAAAGGTATCTCAATAAGCACTTGAAATCTAAACATGTTTTGGCTTAGGAAAAGTTGTGCTACTATGTCTGCTTACAATCTAATCTAAACCAAGTTGAGGGGTTTTGGTTAAATTCAGTTAATTAGTGTATTTGCTGAAAAATATACCTATTGAATATACATTAGCTGAAAAATATACCTATTGAATGCATTCAGATTTAGGACGATTATTTAGTGAAAGGGTTCCATATTGAGTTTAGTTACAATGCCACAATCAAATATGAATAAGTCTCCCAATCCATACACCTTCCACATCAAGAAATCAAGGAGGTCTTGATGCTTAGTGTTCAGGTCTGTCTTCTCATTATTTTTTTTTTATTACATAAGATTCAAATGGGATAATATGGGATAGTATTGTGCATCAATTTTACATTTAATACAGTTGGTAATATAATGTTTATGTTTTCGTGTATAAATTAGCGTTGGCAGAAGGGCCTGTCGAGTGATAAACTTGTTGGTAGCAACGATGTGATCTGCCGCTATAATTACTGTAATTGTGGATTGAAGATGAAATTCACCTGCTTGTATGTTGGTCAGGTTTGTGATATTGCTCTTTAAATGTAAATTTTGGGCACACCGATAATGTTTGAATTAGGTACTCCTCAATGGTGGCTATGAGAGATTTTTTGTTGATTTGAGCTTTTGTTGTCTCCAATAATAACAGAAATGGCATGAGTCACAGTTTGAAAGAGTTGCTGTGGAATGCACTAAAATCTCTGGAAGGTCTATTTAATGCATTTATTATTTTCCTGAAAAAGATTTTCAATACCTTTATCCCTTTTACATTAATAGCAAGTGCTTGAAGGCAGCACTTAATTTACCATTCAGTATACATGCTTTGGATTGGTGAACTCGAACAAACTTGAGCAGGAAACTTGAATGACAATTTGATTGCTCATTAGCTCTGTGCTGTTCTTCCTTGAGCAATGCGGTCTGTTTTAATTTTTACATTTTGCAACAACCTTATAAAATCACACTGATTCATTAAAAATTTCTGAACATCTTAGTTTCTATGAACTTTTACATTTTACAACAACTTTAGGTACTCCTCAATGGGGGCTATGAGAGATTTTTTGTTGATTTGAGCTTTTGTTGTCTCCAATAATAACAGAAATGGCATGAGTCACAGTTTGAAAGAGTTGTTGTGAAATGCACTAAAATCTCTTGAAGGTCTATTTACTGCATTTATTATTTCCCTGAAAAAGATTTTCAATACCTTTAACCCTTTTACATTAATAGCAAGTGCTTGAAGGCAGCACTTAATTTATCATTCAGTATACATGATGTGGACTGGTGAACTCCAACATACTTGAGCAGGAAACTTGAATGACAATTTGATTGCTCATTAGCTCTGTGCTGTTCATCCTTTTGCTATGATGTCTGTTTCTGTGAAATTTTTACATTTTGCAACAACCTTATAAAATTACACTGATTCATTAAAAATTTCTAAACATCTTAGTTTCTATGAACTTTTGCATTTTACAACAATCACCATAAAGATGCATTGATTGCTTAGTGAACATCTTAGTTTCTATGAACTTTAACATTTTATAACAACTACCATAAAGTTGCATTGATTGCTTACTGAATATCTTAGTTTCTTGGCATCTGTGAGGATGACGTAGAAGATATGGGCTAAGCAAGTCAATATGAGGACATTCCAACTTACCTAGACCCTGTTATTTCTTTGTGTGGGTGGTATTGTCCGTACAAATGGCCTGCTCTTCATTGGTCCAACTTATCTAGACCCCATTATTTCTCTGTGTGAGTGGTATTGTCTATACTCTATACTAATGGCCTGCTCTTCATTGGTCCAAGTTGTACAATTTATTTTATGATGCCAACTTCTTTTGTTTTGTGTATTCCCCGGTTAGATCTGCAGCGCCTGTAGCAACTCTCTTCCAAATGATGAAAGCTTAATAGTCACAAAATTAATTATCTTATTAATTCAAATTTTGCACAATCTGTCTCACCTACCTATTACCTTTGTAATAGGATTAAACTTCAAAAATTTTTAGTAAGAACTATCTTAGTCTCTTAAAATATTTATCTAATTAGATTTATTCAGGAGACATTTAAAAGAATGTATAATAAAATGTTACCTTGCCGAGCAGTAAATCATGCTACAAAATGCAGTAATTTTGTAACCATACTTTGTCAAGTGAATAATAAAATGCTAATGTAATGTGTTTATTACTGTGTTATTTTGTATTTAAAGCTGCTCATTTTCTACCTGCTTCAGTAGGTGCTGTATAATTTGTTTTTATTCTTTAACTTAACTGGAGAACTGACTGCAGAATTGACCGTGTCATGAATTTGCCTGCAATTTCTTATGATGAATTTAAGATCATTGAAGGATTTATGAGCTTCATAAGGAACTTAAAGTATCACATTTACCCAAATTTGTGCCAACAGAAGTGCGCGTAGGAAGTTTTTTGCCACTTCATTGCCTGAGTGTACTAGCAGGTAGAGTGTACTGAGCAATGCAATCGCTGCCTTTATCTCTTTATTTTATTGTCCCTTACGTGCGCGGGGCCTGGGACCCCCACGTGTGCGGGGTCTGGGACCCCCACGTGCGCGGGGTCTGGGACCCCACGTGCGCGGGGTCTGGGACCCCTGCGGGGCCTGGGACCCCCACGTGCGCGGGGTCTGGGACCCCCACGTGTACGGGGTCTGGGACCCCCACGTGCGCGGGGCCTGGGACCCCACGTGCGCGGTGTCTGGAACCCCCACGTGCGCGGGGCCTGGGACCCCACGTGCGCGGTGTCTGGGACCCTCACGTGCGCGGGGTCTGGGACCTCCACGTGCGCGGGGTCTGGGACCTCCACGTGCGCGGGGTCTGGGACCCCCACATGCGCGGGTTCTGGGACCCCACGTGCGCGGTGTCTGGGACCCCCACGTGCGCGGGGTCTGGGACCTCCATGTGCGCGGGGTCTGGGACCTCCACGTGCGCGGGGTCTGGGACCCCCACATGCGCGGGGTCTGGGACCCCCACATGCGCGGGGTCTGGGACCCCCACGTGCGCGGGGTCTGGGACCCCCACGTGCGCGGGGTCTGGGACCCCCACGTGCGCGGGATCTGGGACCCCCATGTGCGCGGTGCCTGGGACCCCCACGTGCGCGGGGTCTGGGACCCCCACGTGCGCGGGGTCTGAGTCCGTGCGTACAGACTCATGTAACTTAAACATATCACTTTTTGACTTAGAAAGTGACTTTGAGACATCACTTGAATTTCCTTAGTTCGTCCTAAATCATCCAGAGTGCTAAGTGTTGATTTTATTTGAAACATTAAATAATTTCTTTTATTTTTCAATTCAACGCTCTATGGCTTATTTTTCATGGAGATACAAGTGTTGAACATTCAAAATCTGAAAAATCATTGTAAACATATCATTGAATGTCAAAATCATCGCATGTTTTAAGCAATGTAAGAGCATTAAGTATTACTGTAGAGAGGAAATGCTATAAAAAAATGAAGTATCCTTCTCATCTTGAGGTCCTCACGACCTCAAGCACGTGACGAAGATATGGAAGTGATGTAGTAGTCACTGCAAGCGTGTATGAAGCGTCTATATAATGTGGGACGTCGCTCTAGGGTGTTCGTCAGATCAGCTTACACCTTGCAGTCTTGAAATACTAAGCCCCTTACAGACCTGATAGAAGTCCAGCAGATATTTGCCGTAACTACAATACTATACTACTCTTATCTCCACAAATACTGTTCCATAGTCCACCTCAAAAACACACTCTGTTTTCTTCTGGGGATGCAAGCCTCGCTCAGCGCGCTATACTCGCCCAAGCCTCAGTCTGCTTCGTGTTGACATGTGAGCATCGGTGTCACTCTTCCCTTCTCCAGCATCGATTGATAGTGATAAGTAATTTTGTATCTAAGCGTCTTCATCTATTCGCATTATTTATGTGCCAACCCTTAACAATCAGCGTAGAGAACCTTAGTGATGTAATGTAGAATACCTGACTAATGTTATATAATGCAAAATCTAGAGCGACTACTCCGAGGCTGATCATAAACGTGCCACTACTCGGTGGTTATTATACACAATGGCTTTCTAACTCTTACCGCTGCCTTACGAATGTCAAGCCATATTTCTTGATGTCTCCCTGTCACGTAAAAGTTACAAAACCTAGAAATGTCTTGGCTGTCCCACGCGTGCTAAGTGGTGGAGGCCTCCCTCAACCTCAGGTGGCACCATCTACCTCGCTCCCCCTACTAACGCCCCTAAAATACTCAAAGCTGCAATCTTCAACTTCGATTCTTGACTCAGTTTTGGCACTCCTGGAAAGCTATTCCCTTCTCGTTCAGTGAATAACAGCTTCACATTATCTCAAATGTTGTTATTGCTTGTGCCCGCGCTCATGTTCACACGGGGGCTCAGGTGGTGGACGGGGAGGGCGACCGGAAGAGGAGGGAGGTGAGCTAAGGCTGGAAGGGTGGCCAGAGAAGCCACTGCCTCCACGAGACTGTGCCACTGTGAGGAGATGCGAAGGGTTGTGGAGAAAAAAGAGAGGTGAGATGCTGCAGAGACGGGAGGGGATCCCCACAGTCAGGGCAGGCAGCGCTGGGTGCGCGTCTGACCCTGAAGGTGAAGGATGCCAGGGAACTGCAGTAGCCCGAGGGGAGCTGGCCTGCGATGAGGGCGGGAGAGCCGTTCCTCCTCGAAGGCGACAGGAGGGGTGAGGCGGCCAAGACCCTGTAGATAACAGTGGTCTCGCATCTCTTGAGGGAGAGTTCTCTTTGCCTCCTCATAAGATCCGTCAGGTTAATGTCATTCCATAGGAAGGTGGCGACACGGTAGCCGAATTTGGGCCGAAGGGTAGCCTTCATTAGTCGGGTCTATGGGGGAAGTAGAGACGATGGGGAAGGAGGGATGGAAGGGCCGGATGGCACTGGCCAAGAATTGCACACATGCGAGGTCCAGATGGGTAGGTATGGGGAGAAAGCCCGTCACGGTGTGGAGGTTTTCAATTGGCATCATCTTTCGGCACCCGATGGTTATCCTCAAGGCCGAGTTCTGGATTGTCTGCAGGCTCGTCACTGCGGAGCTGTAGGCAACCAGGTACGAAATAGGATTGGGTGTGTAATGGTTCTTGTATCTCAATTTACCAGCCAATACTACTATACCAGGAGCTAGTTAAGTAATCTAAATGGCGACCCTAGTAACGATCCATTTTGGCAACGTGTTTCGAGATATTCCTTCAGACGACTTCCAACCCTTTACCTCTAAGTACCTCGTATAGACATGGCCTTACTTCTAGCATTACTCTGTTCACCTAGATTCAGACGTTCACCGTATTTGATGCCTTGCAGAAACATAGGAAAGGCAGGAAAGCTCGACCGACTGAACAGATCGTAACGCCTCCCCTGCCAATATTACGAGTGAGGAATAGAGGGAAAACGAATATTGTGTATATAACCAATTGCTTAGAGGGAAAACGAATATTGTGTGGTATTAACGATGGCGCACCTTTTGTCGCAGATGCGGGATGAAATCTAAAAATACTTCAACAGAAATGCATTATTTAGTCCTAATTCACTGTGATTCTGTAAAAAAATTCCCAAAAAAGTTGGTAAAACGCATAGTCGTTACTAAAGGGTTAAAGAAAGCTACCGAGATCTTGTCAGCCTCTACTCGTGTACCTGATGCAAATGCGCACGAACCTCAATATATTCGATACCAAATTGATGCGCTTACGAAATGCAAGGCCATCAATATAGACTGTTTATGTTTACCCACTATTAACTCTAATTTGTCCTGCCAGTTTAGTCTCAAAGTAGACAAAATCTTATAAGTCTCCAATACTGCTGCCTAATCAAAACTTTTATTTATGGAATAATCACCTCATTGTATGGTATAATTTACAGTTGATGAACCACCACATCTGTTTCATAATATGTAGTAATATCATTTGCAGTGAATTGTCAATGAATTTCACCATATCTTAACTTAG